TAGGAATGATTGGAGGTGCGTGTTTAACCAATCTTAGGACTGACGACCTTATGGCGATGAACAAAAAGTTTTCAATAAATAGAATCTCTGGTATTCATAAGTCTTTTATGAACATCCTGTACCTAAATTTGAACAGACATCCCTGACGAGTACCTATCCATTATTATCCTTGTCAATGCGCAGTTTTTGTTTGTATTTTTTATGTTCAAGTTGGCATCTCCCTGGTAACATCCTGCTATTAAAGTATTTACCGTCCGGAAGTTGTTCTCTTACTTACTAATTATTTCGAATTTAGTCTGCAATAAGACCGGCATATTAGAAGTGCACCACCACCCAAACAGAAAGTGCAACACATTAAAAATGCAATACCATCGGTGTAGAAATTACGTAAATGCTATTTAATTAATTAAAATGACGCTGCTTGTAATAAAACATATTAGGTCAATAATATACTTAGACATGTCCATCAGAAAGGTTAAAGGACTTTCAAGATCAATTCTGTTTCGGATTAGTCAGTGATTTATCGACACTGTCTCTACGGCGTGCTGATGAGATTAATTAGGATCGAAATCGTATTACAAGTCTAATAGTTTCACCTGTTCTTATTTCTACTTCAGTTATTAAAAAAAAAGCTTCTGACAATATTAAATTGGTCAAGATGTTAAATATATTTAAAATGTAGGGATGAGTTACAAATATAGAAGAGTGATACTTAGTTTGTATAAAGAGCAACACGCAGTAATAGAGATGGGGCTGCAACGTAGAGAAGTAAATATTAGGAAAGGAGTCAGACAGGGATGCACACTGTCACCGCTACTTTTTAATCTATACATCGAAGTAGCCATCAACATTATTAGGAATAGATATAGAGGGGCAAAAGATTAGTATGCTTAGATAATATAGCAGTATTAACATCTAGCAAGGAGGAGTTAGAGATAGCTTCAAATAAAATGGAAGCGGTATTGACAAAACAATACTATATGAAAATAAATAAAAGTAAAATGAAAATACTGGTATGCCAGGGAAGAAAAACTGGGGAAAGAGCGAATATAAAGATAAGAGAGGACGAATTAGAATATAAAGTAGAGGATAGCGCAGGGTAGAGTCGCCTTCAATAAAAAAAAGTCACTTCTATGCTCGCGAACGGTTAATTTAGAAATTCGAAAAGGTTGTTAAAGGTGTATATTTGGAGCACGGCGCTGTACGGGTACGAACATGGACAGTGGGCGCGGCGGAAAAGAAAAGGTTAGAAGCGTTCGAAATGTGATGTTACCGGCGAATGATGAGAATACAGTGGATGGAGAAGGTTAAAAATGAAGAGGTATTAGAAAGAGTAAGAGAACTCTATGGAAGTCAATAAAAAATAGGCGAGATAGGTTGGTAGGACACCTTCTCAGGCATGAAGGTCTAGTCAGAGACATATTAGAGGCAGAAACGGAAGTTAGGAGGGGTAGAGGTAGGCCTAGATTAGATTACTGTTCGCAAATGATGTGGGCAAAGGATATGGGTTGCTCTAGCTTTAGGGAAATGCGAAGATTAGCGTAGGATAGTAAAGAGTGGAGGAGCGTGTCCAACCACTCTTAGGACTGACGACCTTATGATGATGATATTAACATGACAAAAAAACCTCCTGAGAAAGTACATGCGTATAAAGTAACCTTCTTTTTTAAACGACTTTATTTTCTTCCACAATGATCTAAAACATTTTCAGCGGTACCGAAAAGGACATAGGGTAACTTTTATCCATAATAAAAAATGCTGTTTCCGAGGGATAGAAAAATTAATTTTATGTGGTCGTCGATGATCTTTTACACGTATGTAAGAGCGAAGCCTCAGATAAAATGTAGTAATAGATAAGCAAGGATTAGTGAGTGAAACCGTCTTACAACTGGACGTTTTTTAGTATGTATTGATAAAAGTGCCTTAAAAACAATATTTTATAATAATAATAGTAAAATACGTCCGGCTGAACTGAAGCCGTAGACACGTTAAACGGAGACAAGACCGCAACTAATGTACTACATCGGTTCAAACTGACGATGAGACCAAATACAATCTAATTAGCTTTTCGGTCGCTGGTATCTGCCGACAAAAGAGATGCATTAGAATCGGCATTGTTTATGACAAGGTGTCTTTTGTTTGTGCGACAGACCGGCTCGACGGTTCGTTTAAAGGGTTCGAAGCCACCAAGGGAGCAGACGTGAATACAAGAGCCCCTTCATGGTTCAACTACTATAGTGTACCTTCAGTTTTACCTACTGCTAAAAGCACACCATCGGTTTTTGTAAACAGAGTATAATTTAAATATCAGTTTGGAACTTGCAATGGTAAATTCATTATGAAACATTTTTCTAAGTAGTAGGAGAGCTGGTCAAGGGATTTCAGCGTCATCGGGAATTTAGACAAATTTTACGGAAAAAGGGAGAATTGCGACAAAGAACGGGTAGACAGAGAGGGTGAAAATGCTCCATTTTTTAGATTACGCTATTAAGATAATACTTAAAAAGTTACAGGAATGTGGTTCTCGTTAGCCTTAATTCCCGAATGGCAAACACATGAGTTCCAGCGATGATTGCAAAAAAGAACTATGGAATATCTTTAGTGATTGTTATTATTAAAGTTATATGCATTCAAGGGGGAAATTAATTGGAGAATTTATACGTGACCTTCACTCTTACCTTCAACATTATTTGAACAGTCATTTTCGTTCATGGAAACACTTATGCATTTTTGATCTCATCAATGCAAAGAGCGGAAAATGTGATAAATACCCTAAAACTGATTTAATAAGTTAAAAATAAATTAAATTCATTAGGATCTATTTTCGTAATTTAGAAATGTTAAATAAAAACCACATAGTCGAGGTATATTCGGTTATCTCATCATTATAGTTTTCTTATAAAATGGATGCCAAAAATCTTCATTGGATAGTAGATACAATTTATGATTTGATGGAAGCATATCTTTTGTTACGTAACGCCTTTTTATGACAATGATTTACTTCGTTATTAAGTATAAAATTTTAGCCAAATAAAGAATAGAAATTGTTCTTAACATCAAATATCAAAGGGACTTACTGCCATGTAATAATTTCACATACAAACAAAAATTAAAGATTTACCTACAATCTTTTCGTTTACTTTTAGTTTGAGACCTTCCTTAATGCTACAGGATGCGGAACAACACGGCCAATTTTTGACCTAAGTCGTAACTAATATTATTAGAGGTTTGACGGTGTTTTTCTTTTCCAAATTCTAGATGATACACAAATATCCTATTTTGATGTTTAGTCAGTTCGAACAACGGACAACATAGTGATTCAATAAGGGCTTTAAAGCTACTATCAAGTTTAAAATTGCCTCGGTACCCATCATCATCATAAGGTCGTCAGTGCTAAGACTAGTTGGACACGCACTTCCACTCCTTCCTATCCTGAGCTAATCTAGAACAACCCACATCCTTAACTATTTGCAAACAGTAATCTAATCTACGTCTAGCTCTACCCCTCCTAACTCTCGTTTCTGCATCTAATATGTCTCTGACTAGACCTTCATGCTTGAGAAGGTGTCCCACCAAACTATCTCGCCTATTTCTTATTGACTTGTTCTCCTATTCTTTCTATATCTCTTCATTTGTAACCGTCTCCATCCACGGTATTATCATCATTCGCTGCTAACACCACATTTCGAACGCTTCTAACCTTTTCTTTTCCGCCGCGCCCATTGTCCATGTTTCGCACCCGTACAGCGCAGCGCTCCAAACATATACCTATAACTTTCTTAGGATTTCTAAATTAACCGTTCGCGAGCATAAAAGAGACTTCTTCTAAATGTCTCGCACCTATCATTCCGTTTAAATAATCCTCTGAGACTTTCCCCGTGTCGTAAATATGACTAACGAGCTTAAGCATACAATCTTTAACCTCTTGTCTTGCATGTTTAAGAGTTTCCCCCTGTATCCCATCTGTACCTGGTGCCTTATTATTCTTTAAGTTTTTTAATACTATATCGAACTCTTCTCTCATTATGAGATAACCTCCAAATCTCCACACTATCTTCCTTCTCTAATATATCTCCTAACTCATGACCTGCATATAGGTTCTCTAAATATTCTTTCCGCCTATCTGCTTTTTCCTCATTTTCTATCAAAATGACCCCTGCCTCGTTTCTTATATTATTACTTATGTACCTACCCTACATCTCTAAAATCCCTGTTAATTATATTATAAGCCTCATCGGTTTTACCTACATCAAACTTTTCTTCTACTTCTTTCCACCTTCTATCAATCCACTGTTCCTTAGCTCCCTTACACTTCCTAACTATACCCACAAGTCCCAGTAAAGCAAAGTATCTCTTAATTCCTACGTTCGACTTCTGTTAGCTACCGATAGCATCAAATCGAAGCTGGCAGTGCCCCATCCGTACCAATATCCATGCAAAATCATAAATTGTGACCTGTTATAGGATAAGTCATTTATCTAGCGTAATTTTACTTGTTCCATTACGTTTATTTTTATAGTATTACTACTATTAAACACCTATGTGCTTATTACGTTCGAATGCATGCAATCTTTTGAAAATGGTCACGCACTTTCCTTGGCAATTACACCATTTTAGTTACAATCGGGCTTTTATGGCCTCGGTGCCGTATGAATTTTGTAGTCGCCTGACCACTGTAATAAACAGCACTCCCCAATTACCAATTAAGCTAAAATGAAGACAAAAGCTGAAATCGTGAGAATACCGAATATAATGAGACTGTGTTTAAGGCAAAATGGTAAAGATGATTGCAGAAAGGAATGAACATTCCAAAGGACGTCATCAGGAGGTTCTAATTTAACGTAACAAGCGCGAACACAAAAAGAATACAGTTACCTAACATTGGCATGTAGGTACCAACCGTAGCTGCTGTACGGAAAAAATATGTGTGCATATCAAATGATAAATTTCAAGTGTACCTTTGTCATGTACAATGATTACAAACAGGGTTCTCTTTTCAGGTTGAGCCTGAAGGGACTACAGAACTTTCTTCAGCAAATAGGACATTATTTCTCGAGAAGGTAGGTAATTTTAACAACTATTTAAACGTTTGTTAGTATAAGGCTATATTTATATATATAATCGAACAATTTATTATTGTCTGGATAATATTGCTTACAAGGAGCCGTGCACATATTACGACACGCTGCTTTTTTTTTGGACTCCCTTACCCCCCCCCCCAATGTCGCGATTTATTACGCAAGTATTTTACCCCCCTCCTCGCTGTCATTTATACATTTTTGGTAGTGATCATCTCCTACTCCAAGATCTCCTTCCTTAACATCTGTATATATAATTCATATTTTAGCTATCTACTGTGCTACAGATTACAGAGAGTGATAAAATAATGGATGATTTCAATGTCAAAATAATAATTAATTAGTATCTAATCCCATCTCACATCAAATGATATTAAATCAATCAAAACACTACTCTCTTTGATGTACAGTTAGTAATGAACAGCATGTGATACAAGATGGGCAGCCAAAGAACAGAACTGGATATTGAATTGTCCAATGATATGAAAAAATTGGTCAATTATACCAAAGAATAATAAATTATTTATTATTTTATATCTATTTAATCTTCTTCCCCTATTTTGTATTAAATTCCTTTTAATCAAAGCAATATTGGGGTTAACAAGCCCCTGGTCAAAGGGGGCATGTCGGGGGGTGCTCCCCCCCCCCCAAT